CTCTCTCTGTGTGTGTGTGTGTGTGTGTGTGTGTGTGTGTGCCTGTGACATGCCACTCCCACTAAGCTCATACCACGCCCTCGAAACAGTCGTCAAGACTGCACCCACTTGTCGCTATTGCACTGTTTACGACATTCGTGGCTGTCGTTTGCTCGCGTCAATCGACTCCACCGATTATTGGTAGAAATGTGTCAATTATAGTCTACATGTATTCCTTCTCTACATACTCCAAGCAGTCCATCCATCTATTCTTCCATCCATCCTTACATTCCCCCCTCCATCCTTCCATCCATTCCCCCCTCCATCCATCCTTCCATTCCCCCCTCCATCCATCCTTCCATAGAAAAAGCTTTCTGATATCCTCTACTGCCATGTCCGTCTGCCCATCCATTCGTCCATCCACCCATCCGTTCGACTGCAGACTACATCCGTTCATCCCTCCATCCCTCCCTCCATCCATCCATCCATCCATCGAGAATGTCCACGTATGCAACATCCATTATTCATGTATTCCCCCTATTTACCAGATCGGCGATTGCCATGATCCGACCACCTCTACTACGCCGGCTCAACGGTGTACGATTTCGTGGAGAAAACAGGTTTCAGCGCCGTCGTTTGCACGTATCCAAACTCATACCTTTCCATAATAGCCAGCACTGGTTTGTCCTCCTTCAGCATGCAAACGTTTTTGCTAATTACCCTCACCTGCCAATACTCAGTCGCTATGAACTTCTCGCAGTTGATGGTCAGATCACGAATCGCACACAAATTGTTATTCCATATGATACACCGATACTGCGCAACGCTTTCTCCATACTTAGTGTACTGAAAGACAGTCTCGATGGTGTAGTTGACACCGGGATAGCCATTGGCGGCGGGATCGGGACAGTTGGGATTCTCCCCGTCCGGAGTCGTTGGCCCTGGCCCGGACGCTGATGGGGAGACGGTGGTAGGCGGCGGCGTGCTGACAACGACAGGCGGAGGCGTGGCGGACGGCGGCGGCGCTGTCAGCCGGACGAGCAGCGACGTCCACAACGCTCCTGTGCTGAATTGCACTTGACTCTGGTTAACGTACGTTCGAGAATCGTTGTAAGTATCCAGAGGACTGGGACCACCGACAACAGCCCCGGTGACGTTGATTGGGTTCGGATTAGGGAGTGTCAAGACCGCACTAGTGAGATTGCAAATATAGACAGTGGGGTCAGTTCTATAATCGGGAAAAGAGGCTCCGCGGTGATGAACTCTACGCGGGAAGTTGGAACCGAACCCTACCATGTAACTAAGGCCCAGGGGATTGGCGCCCAGAATGTACTGCGCCTGCGAGTAGGCATAATTGACTAGATGCGCCGGGGCATAGGAATTGCCGGAGGCAGCACAAGTTATACCTTGTTGATTTGTCTGCAGCATGTAGTCGGCGTAAACTACGGCCAAGAAGGCGGAGGATATGGAGTACTGAATGGGCCCTTGCTCACGGAGGTACAAGAGACCTCCAGGAGTGAACGGCTGCGTTCTGTCAAGGTAAAGACACATGAAATTGTCAGCTAGCTGCTTATACTTGCTAAGCATAAGACCTTCACTATCTATAGCGGGCTTAAGCATAAAGTCCCGACCCATCAGCACCTGCACGGCAGCATACTTGTCGTCCCAACTAAACTCGCCCCTGTCAGTATACCCCCCCAAGAACTGCGCATATTGCAAAGTATAGTTCTTAAACATAGCGTTGTTGGTAGCCCTGTACAGCCATGCTGCACCCCACAACAGTTCATCCCCGTAGTTACTTACTGAACGATACGAGTTGGGGACTATGACGCTATCGGAGTACATACCCTTCGGGTCCTGGTTGTTGGCGAAGACGAACAAGTTGACAGACGCATTCAGCAGCTGACTGGCGTAATCGCTGTCATGAATGTTCCAAGCCAACGCGGCTGCTGCAAACGCCGCAGCCACCTCACCTGCGACGTCGGTTCCCGGCGCCGTCGCATTTACCTGATACGACAATCTCGTCGTCTGGATGTTCTCCGGGCGCATCCAGCACTTGTCGTCATTGAACTTGTCTCCGACGATAACGTAGAGCTGTGAAGTCCCCGGCTTCCACACCTTGAGCAGGTAATCTGTACCCCACCTAATTGAGCGCAGCGCATTCTGCAGCTCGCCCGCCTGCGCGAAGTAGTTCCTGTACTCTATCACTCCCCACGACAACATGGTTATCCCGAAAGCCATCGGGAATGTCGTCTTCGTCGTGTCGCCGGAATCAAAGAACCCGCCGGTCAAATCCTCACCGACGTCGGCGCCGTCTTTGAGGGTAGAATTCCCGCGCCATGGAACGCGGTCGTCGGGAATGACGCCCGAGCGTTGCGCATCGAGGAAGAGAGTAGAGAGCTGCAAGGCCAGAGTGAAGTTGAAAGCTGCGACGCCAGCGGTGGGCAAGGACGGGCTGCCCGGGACCGCGGTGGGCAATGCGGCACTCACCGCCGGAATCGGCGACGCAATGGACTGAGCCTCAGCCGTCATTGTCATCGTCAAACCGTTCGAAAGCGAAAGGAGGATGAAAAGAGCAATCATTGCCGTCGTCGGATAGCCGACCATCCAACATCGAACGACGGGGAGCGACGACGAAGCGAACGAGGGACGAGGAGATGCAGACACGTGGCGACGAGGAGGAGGAGGATCTCCCGCCGCCGCTAGAGAAGAGGACAGCTGCCAACCCATCGTTGCTGCCGGCAGAGAACGCCCGCTGTTCGGGCTGAGCAGTGCTGCTTGGCGCTAGAGAAGGCGGGAGGACGTGATGAGCGGGGAGGGGAAGGAAGCTATGCACCGAGATCGAGAGCGGGGAGAGAGTGAGAGTGCAATCAACGAGAGATCGACCTGCGGAAATCGACGGCGGCGTCAAATGAAGAAGATTGACGGCATGAAAGACAGCGCGGGGAAAGAATCAGCCGCCGTCGTCGGCGATGGACAAGCGGCCGTCGCACACGAGGGCGCTTGATGGCGGTGAATGAGGAGAATGGTGAAGGAGGAGACACAGATAAAAGAAAATTTCACTTGGCGGTGAAATGGAGGGAGAGAAAGGAGGAAGCGAAGAAAATTACATACAAAGCCTAACGAGGAGCATGGTGAAGGAGGAGGAAGAGACAGACAAAAGAGCGGGATGACAGGGAGGCGGAGAGATGCTGTACAAAAAAAAAAACGTGTTCTTCACGCCGGTGATGCGCGAGCTGAGGCCGAAGCAAACTTCAGAAGAAGGAAGCGGCCTGAGAAATCTGTGACTCAGCACAGCAGAGTGGCGCCTTTTCTGTCTGTTCTGATAATGGCAGTATCCACCTCCCGATCTCGAATTTCAACATCATCCCCTTCCTCACTTTCTCTCGTGTTTTTTGTATTCCCTCCCCACCTCCCCCCCCTTCCCCTCTCACCCCACCCCCTCTTCCCAACCCTCTCTCGCCCGTCTCGCCCTCTCCCTTCCCCCGCCGTGTTGTCCCTCTCCCGCCCAATGCTCGGCTACTCTGTTGCGCCGGTCAACGGCGGCGGCGGGTAAAAGACCCCGCAAGCTTCTCCCGCCTATGGCTTCCCTGCCATGCTGTCCACCTCCTCCCGCTCCCTCTCTCTATGCTCTTCTTCTTTCCTCCTCCAGCGGCCACTGGCAAGAGAAATTGCACATCCCGCGTCGCGAATCTCTACTATCATAGCATATCACTGCCTCCCGCCAATCCTCCGTTCGGAGACATGCGGGAAATGTCTTTGATTTTCGATTTTACTCCCGGCAGAAGCTGCCAGGCAGGCAGGCAGGCAAGCAGGCATGCAGGCAGGAAGGCAGGAAGGCAGGTGTCATCCGTCGACAGCCATCTTCTTTTTTGTCTATACGACAGAAAAGAGTCCAGTCTTTCGGGACATCCGTTAAAATTGGAACGATACAGAGAAGATTAGCATGGCCCCTGCGCAAGGATGACACGCATAAATCGAGAAATGGCCCAAATTAAAGAAAAAAAAAAAGAAAAGAGTCCACGCCGCCTGCCACCCGTCCGAATGCAGAGAACTGCCAGTCCACCTCCACCGCTACGGTCGCGCTCTTGTGTTTCGCCCAGGTGCCCCGCCTTCGGCGTGCCAACGCAGCCACTACGCGACAAGAACAGGTTCTCAGGGCGGGCCAAGGTATAACTTATCTCGATTCTCGATTTTGTCTCTCAGCCCGTCGATCTATGTAAAATGTACGGTACGGATCGACAAGTGACGGCTAAGGGCATGCTCAATCACACGACAACTGGTAGCAGTTTTTTGACTGAGCTCTGGACGTGATTACTGTCAGATGCGCCCACGTCTGGTCGCAATTCGAGTCAGATACGTTTGGAAAATTGCTGGTTTGAGTAAATGCCCTAAGAAGAGCCTCCTACCAGCGCCTCAAGCTGATCCCGGGGGGCTGTTTTCTCAAAAAAAAAAAAAAAAGAGGGCGACATACCCAGCCTCGGTGCGCTGGCTCTGCATCCCACCTACCTACAGGCAGCCACCGGACCTGGCCATACCACCGCCACTCGACGGGTGGCTACCCCTAGGGCAAACTCTCACTTCTACTTTGCACAGATTCTTCGCTCTTGGCAATTGATTGCCCGCAATCTATTACTATGGGCCTCGCCACACCACTCTCGAAATGTGAAAAAGACAAAAATGTGGCGGGTGCATCTGGTCATGGTCTAGCGGAAGTTCATTCTCATTTTGCATGTTTCGAGAGTGGTGTGGCGATGCCCTATGACTTGTACGCTCTGCGCCAGAATCAGCCCGCACAGAGGGTAAAAGGCTGAGCATGAGGATGTGCTCTAGGTAGGGGCGGGCGAGCGGGACCGCATCCCAGGTCCGGTGCGTGGTACGACCAGAAGAAGTAGCTGACTAAGCCTGACTTGGAGGGTTTCCAGATAAGTTGCCGCAGATACCCCAAATATAAAAATTTGTCCATACCAGTGGGCCTAGCTCAGTTGCTACACCCATGAGCTGTTCGAATGGAGATGGACGTACACGGATCACATTCATGAATTAGGGCCTCGCCACACTACTCCAGAAAGTGGCTGGGTGTCGGGGGTGCAGGGTAGTCACTCCAGCTCCCGAATTTTATCTGTCGGATAGAGTTCAGTAGCTGTCAGAATGTGGCTCCCAAGAGCACTCCCCCAATCACCTTGGCCTCCCACCTGCAAAGCTGCAGAGAGCTCCTTCGTACCTTTCATATGAAATTCGGGACCCCACAACAGACTTCTTTTTTTTTTTTTTTTTTTTTTTTTTTGGACCATTTCTCGATTTATGCGTGTCATCCTTGCGCAGGGGCCATGCTAATCTATCGTTCCAATTTTAACGGATGTCCCGAAGGACGACAACAGACTTCTGTCACACTGCTTCACACTGACCCTGTCCGGCAACTATCATTTTCGGACTTTGAGAGCAGCCGGTTCTAGAGTGCAGTGTGGCAACTTGGAGTGTGGCATCTTGGAGAGCGGCCCGTTCGAGAGCGCAGTGTGGCAAAAGGAACTCAGGGCATAGTCAGACTAGCACCTACAATAGCAAATTATATGTGAGCCAATTTCCAATTATACGGCACTTCCCAGTCACACAGCACACCCGTATACGTCACAAAACAGACAGTCTTGACCTGCTCTAGGCATGCGATTATAGGGTCACACAGCACTATGCATAAAAATCCATCCCTTTTTCCTGGTTTTTTTTTCTTTTTCTTACGAGAGCAGCCCACCAAACCTCGAATTTTTTTCTTTGTTTCCAGAAAGAAACAGGTCTAAAAGAAATACACAATTGCTGGGACCTCCAGAGGTTCCCGCAAATACGTAACTGCGACACGCCAGCTTCCAGACCTGCGCCATCTTCCAACCGCCCCCGAAGAGGCCCCTTTTTGTATTTCCATGAGTTACTGCACATTGTTCGTGATTGGGGAGGCCCGTCCTTCTCAGGACCTTCATCATTTTTGGCCGTTTTTTGGAATTCCATCTTTTGCAATTCGGGAATATACATGGGAAATACGCGCGCCTTAGCGAGTGCGCTAGGAATTTGGGTCGACGGTTAGGAATTTCGGAATGAGCGGAACCTGACGTATCCTTTCTTGTGCATGAATGTTTCTCGACTTCGTCCTGGAAAACTCTGGGAATTTTCGTATGAATCTGAATAGGTATAGGACTTTTCCCCATGCTTGCTCTACGCGCGGATATGGTACTTTTCAATTTTGAATTAGCTGTAACTGTTTCGGTGCCCTTTTTGCCTCCGCGTCGACGCCATGCATGTGAACCTCCCCTCCCCGCATCCCTCGCTACCTTCGACACTCTCTTCTTCGCGCTCACGCTCCTTCTCTCTTTGTAACCGTTTTCCATCTCTCCCTCGCCTAGCGCGCCTTTTCTCTTTCTTGATCGTTTGAATCTTGGTTCCGTTTCGTGCTATCCTTCGCGCTCTTCTTCTTCCCGCTCTAAACCTCGCGTCGGAATACCCTGTCGATTTCCTCCTCCTCCCCTCTAGCCAAGGAGACGCGCCGTGTAAGAAGGATATTCCTGTTACACGATGATTCTAATTGGCTACAACTGGGCTCCGAAGGGTCGACATGGCTTTCCTCGGGCAATTATCCCCGAGTTTTCCCTTACCCTTTCCCACCTCGGTCTTAATCCTTCCTAGCATCTATTTCCTTTTCCGCAACTATAAATTCCGCAAACGCACTCAAAAATCTCTCTCTCAACTTATCGGTCATTTTTCGGGAAGCAATGGCTAGATGGTACATGTGATGTGCGAGTCAAAAAGTCCTGACAAGCTGTCTGTAGTCTTGCTGGTTGTGCGCTGGATCGCCCGACGGACTATGGGCTCCTGGCAAGACTGTGCAGAGACTGAGTCGGTGGGGTGACGATCGCTATGGTGGGAGTAACACGTGACGGCAGGGATCGTCAGTGTCTGTGTGAGGATCGTAATCGAAAGTTGAGTGAATGTATGGCCTGAGGCCACAGTGGAATTTCATGGCAGATGCGCTTCTTTTTTGCTTCAAGTCTAGTTTTCGAGCGTGAGTTTCGTTCACGCGGCATTTAGGCCATAATTTCTTGTCAAGGTCATCGGACTTTCTTGTGTAATTACCTTCTGCCTTCTTCTCTCTTCTGATCCATGTCTCTCCTCCCTCGCACCTCCTTTTTGTTATGTCTTTGTTATAATGGATGGACTATGATGATTTCTCTCCTCTCACTTTGATACGTGCATGCAGTGGATTGCGCCTGATGACTTGTGTGAGCATGACAGGGACATTGATTGATGGATCTGATGAAATGCGCGATTGGATTGGCCAAATGAAGGATGCATGATTAGGAAGGATCTTGTGCTTTGCCCTTTTGCCATGTGGACTGATTGCCACAATCCAACTAGGCGCCGATTCCCCGTACCTCCGCCGCACCCCTTCCCATACAACGAGGAAATGACACGTGTATGCGAGTGGGACGTACGAGAGGTCGTCACCAAGATCGGCGGGCGTTATTACTTTCCACCGGAACCCCGGTGCTTTGGATTCGTTGGCGCGGGATTCGTAATTATCGATACTCACTTTCCACCTTATTCGTTGTTATTGCCATTTAATGAGTTGATCCTCATCCCGTGGGTGGCAGTGGCGCCTCATTGGCCTAACACTCTGTGCAACGACTGTCGTCGCACTGAGCGTTACCGAGCCCAAGGCTTCCATTACCGCACACGTGGCGAGGATGAACACAAGGAGAGAGCCACTCGATTGAGGCCCTCCACGTCGGATTCAAAGTTGTGTAGTGAATGCCTGCAGGACCTCGTCCGAAAACGGGATACTATGTGTATACCCTCCCCCTTTCATTCGAAACATAGGGCAATGGCTCGCTGGGAAGTACAACGATACTTTTTGGATTGAATTCCCCATCGCCGTGAGCCCCATGTGCGCCTTTTCCCTTAGATCGCGCAGCAACGGACCCCTTCTTACTAAAGTCGGACCAACACGGGGGATTTCAGTTTCGTCTGTGTCCCCACACTCAATTTTTCCAAAAATCCTTGGCACACCCCATTTTGGTTGTTCTTCCCGGGCCTTTCCGCAAATCAAAACACTTCGATCGAAAAGCACCACAGGGCGTGGGGTTGAGCGTCACATAACCCCCCGGCTGTCCAAGCCACTGACATTTACGTGCCCATTTGCGTGAAAACGCAAAATACGTAGCCCTTGTGACCCAAAATATCACCTACAATTTACGATTTTATGAAAATGTGTGCTGGTGTGAGTATGCTCTCACTCTCGAATGTTTTTTAGAGCACTCCCGGATTTTTTCTTGAACTCGGGAGTGGTGTGGCGAGGCCCTTACCTGGGTGAATTACTTGGCGCCGGCCAGTTCAACCGTGATATCTCAAGGTTGTCGTCTTTGTCCAGAGTTTTGATTTGGAAAATTGAGATTCCACCAATGCACGCTCATGTCCAACAAGTACAAGAAGGGAGAGGGCAGGGGGAAGAAAGGGCTAACTGGT